ATTACCTACTTGGTCAATTTACTATATTGAAGAACAATTAATGCTTTGTTCAATGCTCATAGGGGAAATTCTTGCTACGCCACTGGATACTATGCAAATGTACAAGAGTTTACACACTGTAACCGAAAAGAAAATCAGTAAACAAAAAACAACGAGCAAAAGTTTCAAGAGTAACTAAGCAGAAAACAATGTAAGTTCTACTTCGATAAGTTTTTGTATCACAATATATGTTATTCTTGAGCTGTTACTTCTTCCTCTTTGTAAATTATGCGGCAATATGATGAAAACGGTATTGTACATCAACTTGTCTTGTTATAGAGAAGATAGTAAAGTCAAAGCGTGAAGAAACATGAGGCGATGAACTAACATGTGATTAAATAACTTAACTAACTGCAACGAATGTGAAGAATATTATCAACAAGATAATGCCAAATAAGACGAAACGCCGAAACGGCCACAATGAAGATTTGAAGCTTAGAAATCGTTACTATTTTGGCTGAGAATAAAAGTGAAAAAGCGAAGGCAACTGCACGGAGTGAAGAAAATTGAAGACGTTTTGTTGTGGCAGGAAGCAGGCTTAGTGAAACAAATAAAAAATGAAAGTTTTTTCTTGTAACTTATAACTGATGACAGTTATTACGACTATTTAAACTGTTTATGGTTTATAACAAGTATTTACTTGAGCGTTTTCCTTTTCCGTGGGGACATGTTGACAAAGTAGCTAGATAAAATAAAATAAGTAAAATTAAAATTTGTGTTTAAATTTGTTGCTAATTAATTAATTTTAAAGTTATGTACAAAATTCTTATCCATATCCTAAATAATATCCTAAATATTATATCTGTGAGTTTGTTTGTGTATTTGTGACGCTTTCACACCAAAACCACAAAACCAATTTTGACAAATTTAGATATAAAAGTAATTTTGACCAAGGAAATGCAAAGAGACTGCTTTTTATTGCAAAAATTTAACTACCAACGTGAAAAATAGAAGATCAAATTTGTGGTGGAGTTTTAATGAAAATTATAATTACGTCAACCATTTAATCCCACGTTTTTGAATATAAAATATTAATGATTGAGTTATTTAACTTTATTTTTGCAAAACTTTAAAAATTAAGAGTATATAGAAAATGAAGGTAATTATATATCTCATTTTCTTGCGCCAGCTACCAATTGAATTGAGTTTCATAGAAATTTCTGCACACATCATTAAGTTCATTAATAACTAATAATTATAGAGTACACATAGTTAACTGTACCAACAAATTTACACAGAAGCAAATTCTTTAAAATTTTACTACATTTCGTATCGCAACTTTGTTTAATATCATTACATAATGAGTGTTGAGAATAAATGACGAAACGTCCTAACAATGAATTGAATTATTTCACGTAAATTTATTACTACTTCAGGTTTATAACTTTATAATAAAACAAACAACACTAAAGTCAATGTGAAAATAAAACGAAATGCACTTCGTTGTAATTTTTTACTTCCTATATTTTTAATTAAACGTATAAAATCGGACACACTCTGAAATTCTAGACCACAACGTACAAATTTATTTAATTGGCGTGTTATTTGTTATGCACAGTTGCACTTTGAGATTTCGTACGGAAAGGCGTAGGATTTTCCAAGTGACCAAACATATAAGATTCAATACGCACTCGAGTGTACTACGAAAACGTTTCGGTGCCTTGTGCTTCCACTTTGTTCCGCCGGCGTGCTTCTGTGTAATTTTATGCATTTCAAATATTTTTACATTTTGGGAAATCACAATACCAAAACATAACCCAAATAAAGTCAAAGTACGTATAGTAGAAATGATTCTATTTTGACAACTAAAGATTTGAAGTTAAAATGATGAGTTTCACTGCGTGCGCAGCAAAGTTGCACGGTATTTTACATTGTTGCACCGGGCCGGTTGGAGAATCACCGGTGCGCGGTGCACGCAAACACCTGACTGCACCTGACGACTAATTTCGACCATTGCAACCAGCCGTTAGCCACGCCACGCGAGCGCACATTGCGGCAGACACACAAATCCAATCGGAAATCGTAAAACGAAGAACGAAAACTGTTTGCGCAGCAACCCACCTGTCGCGCATCGCGCATCACTTACTCAAATAATTTCAGTTTCGTCTTCAGTGCATACACATACACACAGAACAACTTCAATACGCTCATTGCAAAACTAAAAATAATAATAAAAAATTTCACCCACCGGATGAATACACGATAATCGATTAAGCAATATTTCCAACTCAACCGTTTTGCATTCATAAAAGACAACTTCTGACAGATCAAGTTACTTTTGTATACAATACTGGTTCATGTGGATCATTTTGTTTGGGAATAATGTCGTCGTTATTTTTTATGTTATTAATGAATTGGAACCGACACAGATGTAAAGCACACGGAACGTCAACAACAACCTGTAAGGCTGGTAAGCCATGGGAACCTCAACGGTCGGTCGACAAAGACCGAGGCACTTGTTTGGCCGTTGAAGATCCATGCTAGTGACGCCATATGCCGCCGGCCGAGTGAACCCTTAACGGACTTTTTAAATGGACTTCCTGTTTCCGGCCCAGCGCCCAACGCGCGTACTCTACGACAGGTAGACGTAACGATAACGCTAAGCTTCATTTGCATCTAATGAGTCACTAAAGGTAGTTTCATAATCAGGTGGATTATTTTGGCTTCAAATTTGAGGTTTTATTGAAACAGGAAGTCTAAAAAGATTACCCAATACTATTTTATATTATTTCATATTTTTTAGCATGATCAGAGTGAGAAAATTGATACAAATTTAATTATTTTGATTTCGCAAATAAAAACTGAATTTTTCTCTGTAAAAAATTTAAGTTCTTTAATAACAAAACTAATTTTAATGCATTAAGTTAAGAAAAAAGTTTAATTGCTTGCTGATAAGTATAAAAATTGAATTTTTGTTTGATTCGACTGGAATAACCGATCATGTTTCAATTCTGATAGTGTTTATTGACGACAAGCTAAATGAGAAGTAGAACGTTACACATAATAATAACGATAATGATACGACGCGTTCGCCGAAGAAATAAAAGCACACGGTAGGCAAGCGATTGCAGCAAAGGAAGTCAAGTAGATAGAGTGTAGGAATAAGATGGAAGCGATGGAAGCAAAACGGCCGAACAGCGAGCAGGTTTTCATGTAAATAGTTCGTCGCCGCTAACGATTCACTGAAGATGCGCAACATGCAAGTGCATGTTGATTATGATGAGAAAAGAGAAGAAAAGCCTCAGAAAATATACTTAAAAGAACCTAAAAAAACTAACAATAACGATATTTTGAAAAAATAATTGAAAGACGAAGAAATCGTGTGAGTTTTACCTTATAGCCTGATAGTAAAAATATTTCATTACTTTATTAAACTCATTTATTAAATTTAACTTTTCCTTTCTCGAAATTATAGAAATTAAAAATAGAAAAGAAAAAAGACTATTCTGAGATATTCTACAGGTACTTGTGGCATTTATTTTCCTTTTGTTTGATTCCTTTCATTTTGTTTTCAGATTGCATCCAATTTCGCAAATTGCATTCGAGAAAAGCGAATGTTTCAACATCTACCAACTTCTAATGTCTATCATTGCTTTTACTCACATTTATTCATAATACAAGCAACATCTAACCTCAAAATTTACTACTCTAACCTAATGTCAACACTACTTCACTTTGCAACTTTAAAAATTAATTTAAGGCACTTAACGACTACAATACACACATTTACCATGAAAAAGATTGTAAATAATATTCCTTCTTATTTAATTAGCGCGTTCTTTGGATTTCCTATTACAAATTTACTCCTAGGTGCAAATAAGCTGAACAGTTGCTCTGCAAATACCTGCAGCAAGAATGTCGTGTGTATTCATCAACTTGTACGCTGCTAGCGTGTTCGCAATACGCAAACAAAGCGCATGACTCATGACGTATTCATCGTGTTTAAGTAAAAACAAAACATTTTTATATTTGTGCGTTTGTTGATGGGCAATTGGTGATTGTGCGCAGCAAAACTGTACATTGGCATGATCCGGTGCAATCGATTTATCTTCCAGCGATGTACCCGGCGAACAAACGCGTGTAACATGGTTTAAACAGCGTGAGGTACGGCCGACACACACAGAATTATCAAAGAGATAAACTCTTCAAGGCGAACAAAACAGATAAACCGATCTTGAAACTTGTTACAACGTGTAAAATATACCACGTTTTACACTATTTTAACGTAATGCATTATGTACTCAATAACGGTCTAAAATTGCAAAGTAGCAATTTGTTTACTTTATTAATTATGCAATTTATAAAACTGGTATGAAAACAATTAATGAACAGCAAAAATCACATTCATAAAATTTTACGACGCTGTTAACATAATAATAATCTTGTGTTCTTTACTTTATGTTTTAAGTTGGTTTTAACTACAAAATTGCGCCTGAAGGGAGTGTCGTGCAATGATGTAACCAATGTCTTCAACGATCAAAGTTGCAAAATACAAAATTGCAATATAAATTTTTAACGATTTGTCAATCAACAATAGCGACTAATCGCATATTACAATCATAATAAACTTTGCACGTGGTAATTTTTGCATTCCAACATTTGCATTTCTTCAATGGGTAATTAAATCATGCGCAGCCCGTAAGATGCAAATGATATCCGATGCGAGCAATCATATCGAGATGACTTACATTCCACGTGCATTGTTTCCAACATCCGAATGATAAACATTTACGATCTGAAATTCCCGGCGCGAGCGAAACAATTTCTTGCCCTGCAGAAATTACCTCCCGAGTATGCACGTTCGATACAGTCAATCACGTTTCAAAGTAAATTTAAATTTCCTCGGGCATTCGATTGGAATCGAAGTTTGCAAGAATTAGAAATTGTAGATACAATTTGTGGTTAAGAATGTTTTTACTTTCTACAATTGACTACATACTATGACTAAATTGTTTAATTACCTTGTTAATTTGTGCCTGGCCTCTGTGATGACTTCCAAGTTGGTAACACAACCATAAATCCTCGAGTTTATTTTAAATCCAAAATGTATATGCACTTCCACAACACTGTCAGTTTAGTAATAGTCAAGTAATACACTGATGTGATCAATGAAACGCGTCCCGAACACACGTTACCGTTTCGCGGCTCGTGACGAAAAATAAAAACATGTAATACCGCGCCGCAGCCCGCCAGCTCGCCGAGTGTTCGCGGTGTGCGCGTGAAGAACTCCTCCGCGGCAGACGGTGCGTGGTCGAACGCGTCACGTTTACCTGACGGGGACCCCCACCTGGATTTTTAAGTGAATCGACGACAGCGGGCATGATTCAGCCGCGATTTATTCATCGAAACGGTAACGCACTCGGAAACGAAGAAGAACAACAAGAAAAGCAAAGAGTTAATGAACTAGTAGTGTGAGCCGCAGCACTCGGATATCATTATTTCACCCAAATTTACTTTAATGTTTTTGCCTAACTGTATGGCATGTTTTTACAACATAGCGATTATAAAATTATCCTGGAAACTGTAAAAATGCGGAAGTACTTGGGTAAATTATGTGATTTAAAATGAGGTCAAGCAAAATGACACTTAAACTTAAAATTACAATTTTTAATTAAGAAAGTATTCTATAATAATATGAAAATTTTTAATTTAAAGCTTACATAAATGTTTTTATCAATTTTTTTCATTGTTAAATTATTAAAATAAATTATTTACACAAATTTTTAATTTTAAACGTTTTCTGCAGTAAATTAGCTCACTTTTACTTGTTTTGTTGCACTGTGTCGATCATTACAAGTTAGTTTTTTTGCCCGCTTGTCTCGCCGCTTGATATTTCCGATATTTCTGGTTCAGTTGGTTAAGATGTCTGCTCGCTTTTCTTTTTTGCTTAATGGCGATAGCGTACCTCGTGTGCTTCGTGTTGTCGACGGTCGCGGCGGTTTGCGTGCGGAGGCAACGAAATGAAAAAGCGATTTCCGGCGTGACTAGTTCACTGTGTGCGCACTTGTGAACGCCGCAGACGAAGAAGGCGTCTGGTGTGAAACTTATGCGCCTCATTAGTCGTCTGCAACAAACTGGGCAATTTACAATATTTAATGATAAAATGAATCTTATCGATAATTGACTGCAATGCATTTAAAATACCAAAAAGTGTATTTTATTGAATTCGTAAAACTGCAAAAGTCGTGACGCTTAACGACGCATAACTTATAAATTACTCTCTCCGCGTACGAGCACGAGTTTCCTTGCAGGCGAGCCATAAAAATGTAAATTTGCGCAGTTTCATCCAATGCTGCACGACCGAATCTTTTAAGACACACGTGTGTCTTGTATCATAAACCGAATGCGTACGAAAACTTTATCCAAACACGCACTGATTTTGAAGTTTCGTGCAAAAATGAAATTTGAGCATTTAAAAACATCCTGTAGATTATCTTGATGGCGGTCTTGTGCGAGTATGTATCTTCCGGGCGTGAAAGATTTGGATACATCAATAACGCGTTATTTCTTCTTCTCGGATCTTGATGCGGCGGTAAAGTGTAGGTTCATCGTCTGCTCGTTTTTCTTTGCTGGGTTGATTGTAGGTGTTTTCATGGCTGTGCGCCACGTCCGGTGCTCACGCGCGGTTATTTATTGAATATTTGCATGACCCAGAGATATCATGACCGGCAGGAACTTTCATGACGCACGAAATTGTTATGTGAATATAATGAACGCAGCAAATTGTTAAATATTAAATCAATTGATAAATTAATTTAGAAACCAATTATTATTTAATATTTTGCTCCCACATTGAAGTAGTGTTGTTGTTATTACTTTAAGTATTAAAATCAATAAGTTATTATTTTGTTTTCTCACTGTTCGGGTGAATTTAGGCCACGTGCAACACTGTTGCAAATTACACGTGTAACAACCTCGTTTTGCAATATTTTTCTGCATTTCTTTGTTTCTGCATCTTCGATGCATCGTATTCTTCTGATCACAATACAAATAAAACTGCACTTATGCAAACGAAAAAGTATTCTTTTGTATGAACATAAAGAAAGTCAAAGGTTGGAATTTTTGACGTTTTTTACGAGCCGGTATCGGGTATTATTATCTCCTTTATGGCAAGCGCAATAAGCACTTATTTATTCTGCCTTATTTATGTGCGCTCGTAAGACAAATACGCATTGCTCGATTCATAACTTACAGCACAGGAACAATGAGAGTGAAGAGGAGAAGAGCAGGAAGGAAAGCGGAAGCGCAGAAAAGCCAAGTTCAGGACCCCAATTATTTGAATTGTTCGTATATGCCGACAAATTGTAAGCATGTATTCAACATTCTGTAGTAGGCGTATGTATTATTTAAAAACGCGCCATGAATTACGCCTTGGAATACTACATTGAAATAAGTTTATTTAGGATTGGGCCTAAATAATTATTTAAATGCTTTTTCTAAACAAATTATAGGTACTCACCATCAGATTTTAGTTGCACTCCTTTTTTCCATGTTGCTGCTCGGAAATATGTTACCATAAACTGTAAATTAAAGAATTTAGTTAAATATTAAATATAAATGTACATAGAATTTCATAAATACAGAAAACTTTCACATATTTCAATAATAATCATTTAATAATTCATCATCGTAATAATAATAAAAACTGTAACATTTATCTACTACTCGTTTGTTTTCTACGTTATACAAACATACAAATTGTCATCACTGCTCCCACTGTCAAGGACTGTGGTCCACAGCGTTCACAGTCGTCAGGATATCATCTACTGGTGTTTTGCCGGTAATAAAATGTTGGAAAACGCAAATAAAAATGAGTTAGCAACACGGAATCTGTGATTAATAATTGAGATGCCTCGTCGTTCTTCTCGCTACCTAACGTATCCACAGTATCATTTAAAGTCTGTTACAAATCGATATAAATTAATAATCATAAGTTGTACGTACAAATTCAAGTTTAAACAAAATAACAATAAAATTTATACAATGTCACCGCTGCACTTTGAGTACATATTGAGTACTCCATGACTAACGGATCAGAAATGAAAGTAATTACAAAATAAAACAAACTGACCACAAGTTCATTTTTGTCGCCAAATTGTACAATATTTGTAGAAATATTGGTCCGATATCATATAGAAAATACCGAAAAAAATACTTAATTGTACATGTGTTTGAGTTGTACGAAACTAAAAGTTCGTTTGCTTTTTTCAAAATATTTTATACAAAACATTAATTTTTGCCTTCGTTTCATATCATGTTGATCCACTTTTTAATATATTACTATGCGTTAAATTTAAACTCTTTACGTAAAATCAGTACATCCGATTATCCAATTAATATGGCTTGATACATCGTCGCTATCATGCTCGACATCCTAATAATGTTGATTATTAATCGTTAAGTAATTGTTGCTACGTTTAAAATGTTTCTAAAAAGCCGTTGTTTGTAAATATGAGCAAATGCATCACTCAATCGTACACAGACATTCATAATGAAAGCTTTACTGACGTCGATTACCGTTTGAAATAACACGCTCGCGACTATCATCACGATTTACCGAATTTCTTCGCGGGGGTGAGTTTCCGGCGGCTATTTTATTCTTCCTCGATCGTTTGAATTTAGCCATGTCCTCGCCAAATACATCTCCAGTTCTTAACGCCGAGATCAAATCATCGAACTCTCCTTTGGCGTCGTTGCTCTCACCATTCGAAGAATTCTTCAGACCTATTGTTTTGCTGATTGTTGAGAGAATGCCTTCTCGACTGTGTTTGCGTTCAAGGGTGAGTTTCTTCAGATCTGCTTCTTGTTTGGCACGCTTTTCTTCCTCCTCTTGACGCTTACGCATATTTTCGTTGTCTTGACGCGCCTCCTGGAAGGTGGTGAGGAAACTGTCAAAGATCCCGAAGAATTCGTCAGGTTGAATTTGGCTTGGGTCTTCACCAAACAGACGCACAGCACGTTCAAAGCGTGTCTAAACAGTTAAAATACAAATATTATTTATTATTATTAGAAATTTGTAATTAATAATTTGCTATACCTTCATATCTTGATATTGATCTTCAATTTCCGCCAATCTACAAGTGGCAGTCGCTTGGAACTCGCGCATAACCGGGACAAACTTGTCATTGGCCACCGGGCTTTGGGCGCGATGGAATTCGATTTCTTTGGCTACATCCTTCAATCCAGCGCGTAGCTGCGCCATGTCTTTGTTCAATTCGCCAAGGGACACTTTGGCAGCATCACGAACATGTGGTAGATCTTCATCCATTCTTAGAATGTCTTTAAACTAGAATTAACCAAAGTTATTGTTGAAAATATATTAAAATCTAATAAAACACTTACTTTCTTCTCCAAAATTTGTACTAAATAATGCAACAAAGTAGTCCCCTTTGCTGCACTAGACTTTGTATCAGCTAAACGGTTTAGTGATGCCAACCTAAAACCGGAAGCGTTGCCTCGAGCCCGCGATTCATGTAATTTCCAAGCGCCAACACAATCTCCAGCAGTCTTCTCAACCGCCTGGATCGGGATACTTCCCTTGAGGCTTCCATCACATTTCCAATCCGTGGAATCAATTCGTTGACATTGATCAAGAAGCGTTTCTTGTAGTGCAGACTTCGTAAGCGTTGTTCATAATGAGGCACCCTTTAAAGTTATACAAAAAGTAAGTTAGATATCTTTTAATATCTTTTAAAATGTGCTATATTTATAGGAATATGCTTACTTTGAAATTTCATACAGGAATCGATCTGCACGTGCTAATGAATCGATTTCATCACTATGCTCCTCCAATAAAGCAGCCTCTTCAGGCGATGGAGTAAACTTCAAAAGTTGCTCCACCATATCCATGGGCAGCTGCTCCTTGCTGTCCATACTTAGAATAGCTTTGGTAATATCCTCGTCCGACATCTTGAGCTTAGACAAAAGAATAGTGCAGTTCTGTGCTCGTCGCCCATCAATCACCGATAGGACCTTTGTCTTTTTGGTCGAGCCTAACTGGCGGAGGTCTTCAATAGAACCTTCATTCTGTAATAAAATATAAACAGTTATTATTTACTCAGTAAAATGTAAAACTGCAGCAGAACTTACAGCAACTCCATTCTTTTGATAAGCACAAAACAGTTTATCAATATTGTCCAACTCCATCGCATTGTAAAGCTTAGTGTCATCTAGCTCACTCCAAATTGTGCCATTTACCTTGGCATCTGGTAACTTTGACCAATTGAACGATTTTAATGGATTACCAGGTTGGGGTACGTTCTTTTTAGGCATCTCCATTCTGAGAGGTGCTGGTGGGGCCATTGGTGCACATGGTGGTGGAGGTGGACCTGGAGCTGGAGGTGGTGGAGGCGCCAGTGGTGGTGGTGGAGGTGGTGCTGACTTAAAATCACTTTTGATATCCCCATTAGCTTCCAGTCCTTTCAATCCAATCACCTTGGCATCATCTGGGATATTGCCTGAACTAACAAGACGTTCCAAACGGTGTCTCTCCCCGCGCTCACAATTCACCTGACGTTCCAATTCGGCAGCTCTATATTCAATTTCAGACAATCTCTGCCTGGTTTCAATATGCGTGGATGTTTCCTTCTCCAAACGCTCTTTAATTCGTAGCAGACTCGTTTCAAAATCTTCCTTCTCCTGAGTTCTTTGATCCAGCTCCTGTTCCTTCTTAGCAAGCCGAACAGACATGTCAGTATTTTCTTTCTCAAGCTCATCGGCTTTCTTTCGAGCTGCAACAAGCTCTTCCTCTTTTGCTAACAAATGCACAATCTCCTTAACATTAATCTGTATGGGAGAGACATCAGGATCTGCCACTTTTCGTTTGCCCTCTACGATTTCATTCTGTTGAAGAACAATCTGTTGGACAATTCTATCGAATAACATCCAGTACTGTCCATCACAACCACCAGATAAATGCAAACAATGTGTCAGTAGAGATAAGAGATGTGGATAAGCTGGAGTATGACTTAATTTCCGTCTGATCAAATCAAACATAGCAGACGCACTTTTGGTATCAATATGCTCCTGGTCAAACTTTTTAGCCAACTCCTTTTCATCGTCATTGCGGACCATTTCAAAAAAGTCCAAATGACGATCTAAATTTTCATTTTCATGACGTTTGAGTTTATCAATAATCGGTTGTATACCAAGCATAAGAAACTCATAACGTAAATGCAAACGAAATTCCAGATTTTCCTGTCCTTGGCCATAGCTTAAGACAGCATTGATGAAAGACATAATCGCAGTTTTCAAGTTGACTTCATCTCGATAAACTCCCGTAGATTTATCCAGATCATTAATGATGCCTTGGAATCGCGTTCGTTCAAATGCATATTTCTGATAGTGCAACATAGCATCCAGGACCTTCTTATGCCCACCAGACACCAAACAAACAGCGCCGAGAATTTCCAACGCCGCAATTTTTGTTTTGATGTTTTCTGTGCTCAGAGATTGAGCAATTGTATTGATGCTTGTTGGATGTGCCAAGACATGCGCCCGCCCAGTCTGCAATAATTTAAACATAAGTGTCATACATAAATCAAACAATAAAGTTTACAAAATGTCAGCAGAAGAACTTACAGAATTGTTCATGAGAGCTTTGACACAACCAATAATACTCGTATGAAGTGAACTCTGCGCGGCAAAGTAATCCATTTTCTCCAAAAAGTCCAAAAGCACCGGGAGGCCATCCAATTCAATGAATTTGATTACAAAACTGTGTGTAGACGTGCGCAGAGCTGTCTTCAGACCGTCGATTTGTTTCGTTCGAGTACGGATTTCTTCTTCGGTGTTTAATTCTGGATATTCCAACTAAAAACATATTTGTTTAATAAAATCAAGTATTTTGAGTTAATTTTTTAGATTGTTACAGTGGCTAATGTCTGCAGTCTTTCTATGTAATGTTCGGGTCCTTGAGCCAAGTCGACGCTGTCCTCGCCGCCCTTTCTTGAGCAATAGATCTGCCATTTTTTCTCCGAAGGTAGGCTGAGCATTGCAGCTTTGTTTGGGGCTGTTAAATCAAGTTCCTCCTGTAAATACAAAGTACAAATATGAAATTAGACATATTGACATTAAATTTGCTTTTAGTTGAGATTTGTTTTAAAATTTATTAGCTTAACACTGTTAGAAACCCATTAGCTAAAAGTTTATTGAAGTAAAAATGTTTGCAGCCCAGGAATCGATTAGAAATGTGGGTGACCAGATGGAAAAAGCAAGAAAAATGCGGAAATCCATCGCAAATGCGCAAAAAACGCATGGAAAGCCATACTGCATACCGCAAACGGTTAATCGAACATTTCTTGATTACATTGCAATTAATACCAACATCACTCAACCGTTGGTAACATTCAGGCGTGATTAGAGTGATTCGAAAATGCAATTATCACTAAGAATGCCATTATGTAAGTACAACTGTATTTTTGCTAGTTTAAAACAATAAATTCTTTAAATATTTTAAATGGCTAAGTAACTCATGTTGAACAATACAACAACTCGTGTTTGGAGTGTGCCTTTCAACTCTCTGTCACATAATTAACCCATTACGGGCGCATTGTTAAGCTTTAATCGACTAGAAAAGCAAAAATTTCACTTTTTGAATACTTTACGAGCCGATGCAATCGGCGGTGTTGGTTTTGCATCGTTTATAATCGATTTTTAATGGCGGTCCGGAATTGACACCCGGGCGGCCATTTTATGACAGCATCTTGACGGTGAAAGTGACCGTAATGGCGTCACACGGCGCTGCGGGAGTGCAAATCTGCGAGGATCGCGATCGGCGATCGTTTACAATCATTTACAATCGCCTTGACATACAGCTTGCATTCAGAGCCCATCAACCATCAACATTCAGCATTACACATTCTACATGATGCATTTCGCATTCGTATTCATCTCGAATGGGTACAGTTATGCGCAAGTTCGCACCGATCGCGCATTTCGAATTCTTGCCGACTTTTCCGTCTGCTGAGCGAATCGGCAAATCAGTTTTTACGCTTCTTTTGTCGGTTTCGTCCACGGATGCGTTCCGTCATTTCCCTTCATTTCGCAGTCAACAACAGGTTTTCAAATTGCAAAACAAAACAAAAAGCAAAGAAAAGAAGATGGCAACATCATAACAAGAGCGGAAGTAGACTATTTCATTTAATCTTGTTTATAAAAGGAGCAAATTTATTATCAATATGTATTCTACGTAGCAGTTTTACCGCCATTCTTGGTAAACCATCGTTAATAATAATTGTTTACTAAAAATTCGTTCTGCGCTTGCAATTTCTGCCGGCCATATGGTGTGGTATTCGAGTACATAAACTTGGTTACGTTATATTACAACAAATATTATTTCCGGTGAAAACCAAGCACAAAAACCGCACAAACAAACAAAATGAAAAAGCAAACATTTTCAATTTAATATTTACATACTTATGATTATACTGTAACATATATTCTGTATTTTAAACATAATTAATGTGGCATTGATTAAAAATTCTGCAGTTCGTTTATTTTTATGGATAAATTTTTCTTTAGCTCTTCTGTTTCCATCTCATCGTAATACAAGCAAGATGAAAACATCTCGGCAATAATGTGATCGTAATGAGATTATAAATCGCGGAACAAACCGCAATTTTGCATTAGCATAACAGCCGGTGCATGTACGCAACCTGTTTCGATTCGGTTTGCCTTCGTTTTTCCCGTTTTGTAATAAATTTTAATAGATTACAGAAAAAGTAATATAAAATCATTTAAATCTGCGGATGTGCAGTCACAATAAACCAAAGAATGTATAAACAATTATTCACGTATCATAAAGTATTAAAATACTTGAGGAAGTCTATGGAAAACTCAAAAAATGAGAAAATTGGAAGAAATTGTAAGAAAAATAGAAAACACAAAAATTTTACCTTCCCATGCAAACAGTTCTAACTAGTAGAAATTGAAATTTAAGATTATTTGTAAACTTACGACAAGTTCCGCAAATTTTGCATCCAGTTCATCCTGCGGTGGCATTGGCTGTGTTGGAGTGATGGCTTGCAGAGTCCCAGAGTTCTCCACCACGCAATAGGTAATTTCAGGAGGTTCGTCATCCTTAAAACAAAAGGAAAAAGTTGCTGTTTAGAAAACACTTCAAGTATCTCCTCATTAAAGAGCGTATCCAATGTCTAGTTTAATTACGCGCTTTTAAATCTTGAATTCAATCCGGCATCGGCATAAATAAACAATAAACTGACATAAAGCAAATCGTTAAAATCGTCAAATTCGTCGGAGCGAAATAAAAGGGAAAACACTATCAATTTCAGCGATTACCGCTCCACGATAAACTCCTTTCAAACCGTGTTGCTAGGCACGAAAATGCATAAATTATACATGCTCAGGTACTTATTCAACAATTAACCGCCTTATATTGCCATCATCAAACCGCACGATTTATTAGAAATAAAATTGTTTCGCTATTTTAACCCATACAAACGATTATTGCGAATTTCTTTTCTTTTTTTAATGGTTTTAATGTAGACACACAAAAAATAACATAATTTATAATTCATTTCATCATTTCATTATGCAAATTTCGCATGTCCGCCAGTGTTAAGCGCCGACAACAAAAGGCGGCGATCGCAGCAAATTCTTCGTCGGAAAGAAAAAATTCCGCGTGGCGGATAAAGCGCCGCTTAATGATTTACGGCTTTGCATCGTTAATTGCGCGCTTTTAGCATCCGATTACGTGCGGCTAGACGCCGACGACACTCTTGGCGACGAACTCGATAAGAATTCGTACAGACAACATCGTTAAATCCGGAATTTCTCGAGTTTGGAAAAAACAGAAGTATTTTAGTACAAAAAATTAATTTATAACTGCAGAATGAATGATTTTTATCAAAAATTCTGCTGACTACAGGAAAAATATGCTAATGTTTTTGATAAAATATTTTTGCATGAATGAACAATGCGCAAAAAATAATATCTTGAAATTGCTGAGCAAATCAAATCAATAATTATTCATTCATGCATTTAACAGAAATACTTTCCTAAGGCTGTAAAGTAACAATTCATGGTCGTATTTAATATATTATATTTTCCCTTAATATTTTACTCTTAATTAGCATGCAAATTATTTAAAATAAAACTCAAAACCTGTAGAAATTTTCACTCGGTATCATAAATCATATAAATATACATTTTCTATTACTTTCGCGTCTTTCTTCTGTAAATTATTATCTATTTGAACAAAACTTTTACCCCAAAATAGAACAACGAATCGCCTTATTCAATAATGCCCGTTAATAATCACCGACACCAACAGTCAAATTAATTGGCGTGGCACTGGCGCGGTGCGTGCGAATCCATTTATGGCACCTGGCGAAGGTAGGTCCGATTTTTGCGCCAAACAAAGATCAAAAAGCATAATCTAGGTGTAATGGTAATGTGTCTGCGTCCACCTTGAATCGAACGTATATCCGCATGCGAAATCTGTTGCGCGCGTATGATTAGTGCGAAATGCCGCGTTTGGAATTCGATTTTCTCTTTTCGCGAGATCGCGCGCGCGCTCCGAGTGCCAAGAGCACCGCCGAAATGTAAAAATCACCGCACTGTGCGCCCGCGGTGCACACATGCGTTTGATCTACAATCCCACAGCTTTCGGCTGTGCGCCGCGCAGGCATTTATCAAACGCTGAAATTCAATTTCGCATTTAATGAAAAGTGTAACATTCTAAAATCTCTCTCTTTGGATAAATAAGCAGAAGCAGACATCCTTAAATGTCATGGTGGAAAGAAAGCAAGGATGATTTCATATTGAAATAATGAGCAAATTAGGATTAAGTAGCTGAACTATCTAGCTTCTAATTGAATAATCCCGTTCGGTTCATAATTTCCAATTATAGCATGTAACAGTGAGTGAAAATTAGCCGCGACGATGAATTGATTCTTCCTGCTTGCGATGAATCGCTGAATCGTTTGTTCATCAAATTACTGTTATGCAGGTGGAATTAGCGCTTAGTAATTATAATTAATTGCAAAAATAAGCGCGTTGCCAATGAGTAGCAAGTGTAATAATGCATTAGGTTATTGTTTATACTCCCAGAATCATTATCTAAATAAATTACGTGAATCTAATTTACAAAAGTTGATTAATTTGTCTCAAATTAAATGTGTTTTACTTTGCTTCAATTTCATTGTAATAACAATCTTACCAAATCTGTTTTTTGTAAATTATTTACTTGTTTTCGTAATTATCGACTTCGCCAATATTCTTCTTCTTAATATTATTTGAAAAAAAATGCCAGTAATGCACTTTTGCGACATATCAACTTTCATCCCTTATTTTATACCCTTGAAGTTATATTATTGCAAAACAAGTAGCCCACTTGCTTTTCCATCGTCAACACGATCTCTATACCAAAATATATCCAAATTGGTTGAGTAGTTTTTACGTAAAAGCGACACAAACAAACTAATTAACTCACATTCACCTTTATAAAATTAATTATGATAGGCATCATGACTATAACTGATAATCAGCAACAATTTAGAATTTATATATGGAATAAACCTTATTCAGGCAACTTGCATGCACAACATTAAAATCCCAGAAAAAAAACCCAGAATTTTAACGCAAATTTAATTACAAACTGAAATATATTTTTAATTATTAAATATTAAAATATTATATTAAATATTAAAAAATATTGATTCCTCAAAACTTTTAAAAGAAAGTTTTTTTTTTCTACAAAAATAATAACTATCTACGTTTCGCACATTTAAAGTGTTTAGTAATGAAACAAACGAGATGTACTCTTTCCTATAGTTAAAACGCTCAAAAGCACTCATAACTATAATTCGAGATGTGTATTTTAAACGCTGCTAAACATTGCAATGGCCTAATGTTTGCGGGACAAACGTGAAAGCTTTAATAACAATATTTATGCCATACACCGCCGACTGACTATGTGGATTTCGTTCGCGTTCTGTTTCATTATCTTCGATTTTAATACTATGGTTGATAAAACGCGGCTAAATGTAGACGTTTTGATACGAGCGTATCGCGGACAAGTCATTTGCGAAATGACTGCGAGAATGTACAAATGATAGCAGGCTAGAACGAGAGCACTTTAATCGACTTTTGAAGGCCTCAAGGAAATTCCTGCATAAAAATTGCTAACATCGCTGCGAGCCTCCGAGGAAGAACAACAACAGTGCAAGAACAAGACCAAAGCGAATAGATAACATAAGAAACAGTGGATGTCAAACTATGTGACGTACTAGATTAATATGTACGATTTAATAATGTTTTGCACAGGCTGATGCTGTGAGAATCTCAGTTGAAACAGGAAAAAAGTGCAAATTGTACAGACTGAGAAGATCTAACTAAACACGAACGCGAGGAAAAGTCACCTCTGGGCGATGACACTTAATTGACGTTACGTTCAACTGTTTAACTCACTTGACGTGTGAAAACATGCAATTTTGCGAGTTTGAAGCCGGCAAACAGCAAGAAAAAAACTTTAAACGCTCAAAACTTAATTTATCTTCTAAACAGTAAATATATATTCTTTGTTGGTACGAGTACACAGCCTTGATTAAAACATTTACCGACCACACACAACATGCACTTTATAAACTGTTTTTCGAGGCATTTAAATTTAACGAGAAGTTCATGTCGAAATTTAAATACCAAGCGATTTGCTCGCCAAATAAGCAATGATTCGAACAATAAACCAAGCCATGAACACTCCCAGCTTCGATTACGGAGCGTTTTTTCGTATTTAAGTTTTTTTCTTAATTTCTGCGGTTTGAGACAAAAAAAAACGTTAGGAAATCATTTCGTACCGATTACATACATATTAAATTATGTTAATAATATATGTAACGAATACAAACATTAGATAATATCTTTTTTTCCGCGCAAGTTACAATAAATAATTAGGTTTTAAATTGTGTTATTATAGTCGCGTAATAATAAATGTAATCGTAAGAGTTTTTAATATTGTAATAACGGGAAGTGTAAAAAATGATTTGAAAAAATATTTTCCTGGTTAAAATTTAATTCTTTTATTTAGAACGAAGAAAAAGGCAAAATTTATTTTCTAAAACAAATTATTATTAATATAATTATTAATGAGAATTTGACTGGATATTAAGCGGTATTGTAATTTCCACGTTTGTTGAAGTACTCGTATTTCACAGCACTTTAAAATCCGTTTTAGTCAAATTACTTAACCTCGAAAGTTAATTTGTTTTTATTTTTTAAATCGTATTTTCGCGAATTTTTCTTTGCGTTTGTCAAACAATTCAATTTTATTGATTTGGAAAGTTTACGACTATCTTTACCGGCAAAGTGACCTGCTAGCCCCGACATGTTTAATATCGGTAATTAGCGTCGGGACGTGTTTGGCCGGGAACCTACTTTTCGAACGCGAATACGGGCGCAAAGTGCGCGAGGTGCGCGAAATGGGCATGAACGCATGAAACTATCACCTCAACAACATTCGCTTCACGTAGAGCCCGATATCGCTGGCGCACAAGCCATACCCAAAAGTACCAATATTATTGCATAAATTACAATTAACTTTGCGTGCGTTTGTTGCGCGTACGTTTTTATTGTCGTGTTCGTTACGGTCGTTTGAGTTTATCACGCAAAAAAACTACATGTGTGAATAAAGGTATTATTACAATGTACACACAACAAGTTCAGCAATCGCTTTATACTAGGTTGCATTTATTATATGAATTTTGTGACAAAATGACAAACATTTTGGGAATTTCAAGAAAATATAAAGAAAAATTATTTGCAAACATCTTAAAGACGTTAAAAGTAGCTTCCTGTCAGATATAAAAATATTTGTTGTTCATTTTAACATTTAAAAATGTCTAGTTTCATTGATTTAAAACTTTTAACCGTATTTCCAACTCATTTGACAGTATAAAAATGAAAAAGCGCGTATAACACTTGAATCTGCTCCTTGGCATTGCCATCTAAATTCTTTCACCTCACGCGATCGTATTTCATAATTCCTAGGCGCAAAAGTGTGGCCCGCAACGTCGGCGACATTCTTGCGAGTCGTTAAATGGAATTAAAAGGTATTAGAAAATTTCGTGCGGTCGACCAACGCCGGCCGAGTGAAATTATCGACGAAACGCAAACAAAAAAAAAACACACATTCTAAAAATACAAATGAACCGCGATTGAATTTTCATATTCTGGGTGTTCCACTGTCAATGCCAATGGTATTGGCATTGCCATTGCGTGTTTTAATGATGCACGTTCATTAAATTTATCTCCAGCTTGAAAATTAGTCCATTACGCTATAGATTAGTAGCTAACGGATTGTGCAGCGCTATTTCATGCAGACTCGCATTCGTTAAATGTTTTTAATGACCTGCGCCGTGTTTATCCGTAAAACGAAAATTAAATAAAAATTTCATCTATCCAGTGACGATTGACGTTATTAATATTAATGATTGCTGTTCGAGAGTCAAGAAAAAAGCGAAAGGAAAATGAAGCGATGTTAATTAAGCGATAATCGTGGCAAATAAATAATAAAATTACTAATTTAAAACAAATAACGACGCGAAACGCGATAAAAACAACCGGAACAAGAAAATAAAATTATTTCAGACATCAGAACACAATTTTACAACATAAACGAGTTTTATGAGCACCAGGCGGCGCCACTTGTATCCAACTTTTTTTACACCAAAAACAGTATAATATCTCATATTATATTCTGGATCAAAAGTATGCGCGATGAATGTTCTCGAATTAAAGACTTGTTTGCAGGTTATTTATCGCTCGGACGCGTTTGTAGCGATCGCGCGAGATTAGGGAGCGTTCACGGACTTTCTTTCGCTTGACCATCGACCGTCGATGGATTTCAAGTCCGAATTTCTTATTCTTTCATCACCTTCTGTCCACTCAATGCATGCTTCAATCGTTATCTCCGCGAGTACGTTTCATTTCTTCGTTTCTGCCCATTTCTCAATTATGTAAATTCGAATATGTAGCGAGCTGCTAGTGGGCTGGCAATAAGTAATAAGCGTACTGCTTCGACAGATGATAAGAAGCGGATTTGAATTGAGTATTGATATGAAATGAATGCAGGCGCGCAGGTTGGAGAGCAAAAAAGAGAAATCTCTTTTGAATCTTCGAGGTACTCGCAACGCAACGAAAGGTATACGAGAATAATAACAAGAGTGTAATTTATCAAAGCGTAATTACGAGCGATAAATATTAGACTAATAACAGTTGTTTGCTGGCGCAGACAAGAGTCCGCGGGGGCCTGCGCGGTGATTTTCGAATGACTACCCGGCGATGATAACGAAATTACTGCCTTTGCTTTCCGAACAAATTAATCGTCACTATATTCACTTACAATTCACTTACAAACGATAAATTCATTTTTTATTCTTAAAAATTGAGTAAAAATGTAATTTTAAGACTTTGCGCTACCAGAGGGCGCTGGATGACTTACTTGTAGGCAGCCGCACCAGCCGCGCCGTGAGCGCACGGCCGGCATGGCCGGGATGTGTAATCGAGGCAGCGCGTTGGTTAAATTATCCCACGCTGGCAATTTTAAGCTGCACTTTGGAAAGCCCTGAAAACAAAAACGAACAATATTAACAACATGAACAAAAAAGGTTTCATTTTCCATATATTACTAAGCATCGAATAAAAGAAAACTTTAATAAAGTGTAGGAAACTGCAATGAAACGCACAATAGGAAAAGTTTTTCACACGCACGTCAGTGTATAATGCAGCAAAACAACGCAATCAACATGAAAATGTGAAAACTTTCCAACGGAAGGGGAAAGTATAAAAAACTAATTTATGCACCCTCATCGTGAATTAAACTAAGTGTTTCCTATAACAATGACGACAAGAAATTTTCACGTTAAATACATGCCAATGCACTTAACAAACGACGTTTTAAAGAAATACCAGAAGAACACGACTGGTTCAAGTTTAATTTGTGTTTGTAAATTTGTTTGTCTATTTGCAATTGTAATTTAATCCTATTGAGGACGTTTTAAACTCATTGCTCATCGTGTTCGACAAATTTTTTTCAAAGTAATTTTTGTTGTATTGTTTTTTGTTGTCCCGCTTTCCGCGGGACTTCTTGATGCACATTCAATATGTCAATGTATTCGTTTCCTACATTTCATGCTGAATCGCAAACGAGTCTCTCTCTTTTCTTGTTGGAGCGCCGAGTAAGTGAACCAAATGAAAAACAGCTTTTACTAGCAAATTAGCATACAAAATACTTTTCTTCTTCGAATGGATTGGTTGGAAGCTTCATTTCTCTTCTGAGGAAGTAGATTACAAAAGAAAATGTTTAAAAGAAAATATTTCTTAAGTATATATTTAATTTTATAGTTTTCCCGCTCGATGGTGATACTTAAAATTTTTCGAAATTGATTTTTAGTAATAAATTTTATTTTTTCATTAAACAATTTACTAATACATAATCCCAATAATGATGGAATTTATGTTCGTCCGCCGCGCGTTGATTATCTCATTTTCACCGTTATTATTAGAGAAATATTATTACTTCTTCACCGACTACGACTAATGCGCCAGTGGTCTTCGCTTCATCGCATGCAATATTTCCACATACACTTTTCTCTCAATATCTTCAGGACGTGATAGACCTGGGAGTGGTGCGTGGCGGCGTGCAGCTGGAAGTGATTATTACAAATGCGATTTTAAGCTAAACTCGTAAAGCGAAGAGATGTAATCAATTTTCCACGAGCGCGCTAAACTAAACCGTGGCACTACACGGCTACAGAACTATTTCAACGCAACTGGAACATTAGAATAGCAATGAATATAAATATAAACTGTCAAAACAGATAAAAGAGTATCTTGGATGTTGAGTGCTTAAAAATGTGTAACATACATACTATTTTTGAAGTGAAAACTTCTTTAGAATTGTTGGGATTTCAAAATTAATGAAACTACACTAAAAAGAGACAAAAGTATTCGTTTATATGGTTTAGCCTGCGAATAAGAATAAGAAACACAAATATACAGTGTTTCCTATTATCTTCATCTCTTATTTGTGCGATACTTCGTAGCTTGCCACATGCCACTTGATTTTGAATATTTTCTGAATATACTATAATAACGATCTTCAAATATGCCAAAAACAAATGCAGATAAGTGTTGGAAATATCAAAGCCTTAACTAGCCTATCTTATAGAGAATAGTACGTAGATTAAGACGCTGCGATCGGATCTTAATTATCTCTTTTAGTTTACGAGATAATCGCGATTGAATAAAATGGGCAAAAATTGAAAAATGTCACTTTTTAGCACTTTTAGTCGCGTTTTTCGACCTTTTACTATTGGAAATATAATTATTTTATATTGCTATCTGATAGAGAATTTTCTAGTCTTTCATAATCAGCAAATTGTTGATTGCTACGGCTTTTAGTTTATGAGATATTAATTATCAAAAATCGTCGAAAAAAAGTATCAAGCACCCCCCCTTGGCAATTTTTTCTTAAGAGTTAAAATTTCATCTCTCAGATTTCCGTTTTAACTATCCTATCTGATAGAGAAAAGTACGTAGATTAAGACGCTGCGAACGGATCTTAATTATCTCTTTTAGTTTACGAGATACTCGCGATTGAATAAAATGGGCAAAAATTGAAAAATGTCACTTTTTAGCACTTTTAGTCGCGTTTTTCGACCTTTTACTATTGGAAATATGATTATTTTATATTGCTATCTGATAGAGAATTTTCTAGTCTTTCATAATCAGCAAATTGTTGATTGCTACGGCTTTTAGTTTATGAGATATTAATTATCAAAAATTGTCGAAAAAAAGTATCAAGCACCCCCCCTTGGCAATTTTTTCTTAAGAGTTAAAATTTCATCTCTCCGATTTCCGTTTTAACTATCCTATCTGATAGAGAAAAGTACGTAGATTAAGACGCTGCGAACGGATCTTAATTATCTCTTTTAGTTTACGAGATATTCGCGATTGAATAAAATGGGCAAAAATTGAAAAATGTCACTTTTTAGCACATTTAGTCGCGTTTTTCGACCTTTTACTATTGGAAATATAATTATTTTATATTGCTATCTGATAGAGAATTTTCTAGTCTTTCATAATCAGCAAATTGTTGATTGCTACGGCTTTTAGTTTATGAGATATTAATTATCAAAAATCGTCGAAAAAAAGTATCAAGCACCCCCCCTTGGCAAATTTTTTCTTAAGAGTTAAAATTTCATCTTTCAGATTTCCGTTTTAACTATCCTATTTGATAGAGAAAAGTACGTAGATTAAGACGCTGCGATCGGATCTTAATTATCTCTTTTAGTTTACGAGATATTCGCGATTGAATAAAATGGGGAAAAATTGAAAAATGTTACTTTTTAGCACTTTTAGTCGCGTTTTTCGACCTTTTACTATTGGAAATATAATTCTTTTATATTTCTATCTGATAGAGAATTTTCTAGTCTTTCATAATCAGCAAATTGTTGATTGCTACGGCTTTTAGTTTATGAGCAAGTGTGATGATCAGTTTATTATGGCAATTTTTTCTTAAGAATTATAATTTCATCTCTTAGATTTCCGTTTTAACTAGCCTATCATATAGAGAATTTTCCGTAATTTAAGAGTCTAGGATTCGTTCCTGAATATCTCTTTTAGTTTACACAATTTCTATTAAAAATTAATTGTTTTGTAGAAAAAAAAATGCAAAAACTTTTTTCTGTTAAGTCATACTACGTGGATTGTACTATATTATAATGATAGGTATCATGATTGTTTTTTTTTTATTTAAACTGGTGCCATGTGTTATAACTACAGTAATAATTTCTTGTAGCGAAACGAATGCATCCAACCTTGATGCACCTTTAGCTACACCTTGCAGGTCGACACACCGACACTCCGACACATTTTGCAATCTCTTAACAAACTCGCTCAACTAGAGAAATATGTAGATATGTACGCATGCGACATAATTCCATGCCAATAACGCGTGAACGCGAACGTGCATCGAATCGTGCACACAAAAACAAGCAATGCAAATTTTCAAAATTAAAAATCAAATAAAACGTGCAGCATATATCGACTGATTATCACCGTTTATCACACTTGCAATTGTACACACGTTAGCAATATGCGTATCGACCGTTACATATTCTGCAATTCTGTTTCAATGGAATGTAATGTAATATAACGCAACTCTCCGCGTGGTCTGTTAGGTGTTATGCGTATATTGTGGAGAAAAGTCTCACCTACATCTTTTCTTTAATAGTTTCAGGTGTTTAAACAGTTTAAATTATGCAGCGTGCAAATGCAAATAAAATGTCAATAGCAGCCGATATGAAAACGTGCGTGCGAATTAAATATGCGCATAATGCGAATGCAAATCGAAATGAAAAGATATCATAAATTGCGCATAAATAACGCTCAGCACGCGGCTGCTAATTAAAGCAGCAACGTGCGATATGCGAGTCTGAGGAATTTTAATTATAGGCATGATATTCTATCATTTGGCTTAATAATAACTATGACTTTCGGTTAATCGACAAAATTGTTTTATGAACCATAACTTCATGCCACCTATCTGCTCAATACTTTTACCGCAAGTCAACAATGCGTCAATACACAACAATTAAATTTTTAGTAACTTTTAACACGCTGGCCATTTAAATTCGTTGATGACACGCTGATTTACAGTTTCTTTAATACTTACTTACTCGTAGGTCAATTGAACAACAACAATCCGTGTAATAAACTCTCGCTGAATGCAAATTTGAAATCGCCGAAACAATAAAAATCGAATTAATCATTAGCGAAGGCCATAAAACCGCGAAAACAAAAACCCGAATGAAATAAATTAAAGGCCTCAAAAGAAAGTGACCAATCAAGTCGAGCGTTAAAATTATATTTAACTAAACATTGAAATAAACAACAAAAACACCAAAACACCAGCGTTTAAAATTACATAGTCGAAAAACAATTGAATTTATATTGTTCGACTAATGTTTGGATGCTAAAACGAAACCTTGTTGATGTGTTGCATTGATGGTTCAAGTAGCGCAGCGCAAACAATTGAAGGTTTCGCTTTCTTAGGTTTCCATTGTGCATTCATTTATGCCGCTTTTTACCACTCTTTCTTTTCAGAATTGTGGCGATATTTAAATCGACTGTCTGTGCGCGCGTCCAACTGAAGAAAAACATGATACGGATACGAGAAACACAATATTACAAAGTTTAATGACACTTTTATTTTGTGGTGTTAATTACTTCCTTCTATTGATCATCAAAGTAGTAATTATGAGAATATTAAATAACTTTTTCCATTTCCACTTTTAAAACGACAGTTTTGGCGGGTTTTAGACACAACAAGTGATATTTTAAACACGGACAGCCAAGGCAGTGATTAAAGTACTTTAGGCACAGGTTTGAGTCACGGCGTAGAGCTTGCGCCAGCGCATGTCCATTTTGTAAATTCGGCGTGTCTAAAGTGATTTACGTGCAATATTTTGCAGATTTGTTAAAGTACTCCAAACAATAGGAAGCTTTTAAAACGATTATTGCGTTAGCAGTTTACCGACGGTCAATGAGCAGCCGGCTGCA